GCGTCTGACTAAATGTTTTTGGGTGGAAAATGCTGACTAAGGAAAACTGAAACTTTTCACAGGAAAGGGTTGTTTTGGTTAAATTCTTGTTGTGAAGCTTTTTCTCAGGCTCCAATTTCTGGTCAAACCACCTAAAAATTGCTTGGTTCTTAAAACGCTCACCTGCAATGCAAAAGACCCAGGTTCTGGCCCCAGCTCTGCCTGATTCATCTAGTTGGAGGTTGAACTCTCTTTGCAGAGGGTGGGGTATGTTATGAAAAACTTTGGAAAGTCTCTGCCCTGTCCCAGTGTGGAACAGGAAACTACTTGAACTATCAAACTTTCATGGGATGGGAAAACCATTTTCTTCGAGCCCTATCTAGAGTAAGAGTCCAACACTTAGTGGCTCAATTCTTTCCCTGGGACACATCAGTGGAACGTCCACTGACTTCAGCCCAAAGAGCTAAAGTTTGGCAAAGTCATAAGTAATTGAAAGAAGGGGCTTATAAAGGGAAGTGTTTAGCACCTCAGGCTACAGGCATCAACCCTTATGTTTAGGGATGGCATTTAAAAACCGCAACCTGTCAGAAATGTTTCCTCATTTCTTCCCAACTTCAGCATGTCTCCCACAAAGTTGCACTGCTCTGAGGTCCGAGGGAGCCAACATTCACTCCTGGACAAATGGTAGCGTTGAGGTACAATACCTCCTCACTAATCAGGGCTCAAAACAGGAGCTTTTTCTGGTTGAATGAGGGGAGGCAGCATGGTTATGTGGATGAAGTGCTGTCTTGACTGGGAGTCAGGAGGTTCAATTCCTGGCTATGCTGCTGATCTCTGTGCCTCTGTTTCCCTTTGTCCATTTTGATCATAGGCTCTTTGAGGCAGCAATAGTCTCTCAGTGTTTTGTTTGGGTTTTGTTTAGCACCTGTCCCAATAAGGCTCTGCTCTTGGGTGGGGCTGCAGACACTAAGGGTATGTCTACACTACCCACCGGATCGACGGGCAGCGATCGATCCAGTAAGGGTCAATTTATCACGTCTAGTCTAGATGTGATAAATCGATCCCCGAGCACTCTCCCGTCGACTTCTGTACTCCCCTGCCGCGAGAGGCACAGGCGGAGTCGATGGGGGAGTGGCAGCAGTCGACTCACTGCAGTGAAGACACCATGTTAAGTCGATCTAAGTACATCGACTTCAGCTACGTTATTCACATAACTGAAGTGGCGTAACTTAGATCGATTTCCCGCCCCCTCCCCCTAGTGTAGACCAGGCTTAACACAAGTAATTAGTGCCCGTAAACATTTAGAAAGTCAGGACTCCTCCCTTTCCAGTGTAAGAACAGACCATGAGCAGTACTGCCCTCGTCTTATGACAGGGGTGTAAACCTTCAGAATCTTGATCTGGGTCATGTCTCTGGGGCCAGAAAGTAAAATGTGCAGTGTTTAGTCTGGTTTCCTGTGTTTCAGACTCTTCGTTGTGGATATACAGCACTTGCTTCTAACAGTGGGAAAGCTTCCAGATCATAAAACATTGTGTGGGGAAAGGTATTTTTGGTAATTTTTAGAGATTTCTAAAATGTAGTCTGACCTTCTCTCTCCTTTCAAGACCTCTGCAGGTGCCCTCATGTAACAAAGGGATTCTAGCCTCATATAAAAAGGCAGAGGGATACTGGAATCAGGCCAAGTCTGAAAGCTTTGAAGCATTTCTGTTGTGTGTGTGTGTGTGTGTGTGTGTGTGTGTGTGTACATTATAGGATGATGTACCTACAGGGATGGCATTTGTACCTCAACGCTACCATTTGTCCAGGAGTGAATGTTGGCTCCCTCAGACCTTCTATAAAGGTCCTGTAGGTACTCTTATGGAATCGCTTATGTACTCACCAGATACAGATAAAATGTTTTCTTTCGTCATTGTATCCACAGGGTAAGATAATGCTGGTGCTAGAACTCCAAAACAATGCCCCAGAATTCAGGATCAGACCTTTCTCTCACGTACCTGGTGTAATTTCACTGGGTGAAATCCTGGCCCCACTGAAGTCAAGAGGATGTTTTGCTATTGACTTCAGGGACTTCACCCAGTGAATTCAGTGGTGTTACAGCCCTGGCTACAGACTAACTCTCCACAATTCCAACAGACGCTGGACCTTGGCTGAGGGAAGGAAGAGTTAACTCCCAGCTAAACTGGAGAGTCCCACAATTGGAGGTCAAAGGGGGACGGGGGAACCCGAACTTTAATTATTTAAACCAGCAGTTCTCAAACTACAGGCTGGACTTCCCAAGGGAAACACGAGCTGTTTTTATTTATCTAAAAAATAAAGCACAGCTTGTGCCTCCATTGGGCTCTCATACATAAATATAAGAGCTCTGGCTATCAGCCCTGGGTGGCTAGGGCTGTGCACACTCGGGATGTGCGAATAAAGGGGACAGCTGGAGCCCCGTACTCGGGCTCTCCTTCCACCCAACTCCACCCCCCAATCCCTCCCCTAGAAGTAGTGGGGCTCCAGCTGTCAGCCCTGTGGTGGTAGCAGCAGCACAGAAGTAAGGATGGCCATAGGCTGCAAAGTCGGCTGTGAAAAGTGATACTGATGAATATCACTTTTCACATTGCCACCTTTACTTATGTGCTGCTGCTGGCAGGTCACTGCCTTCAGAGCTGGGTGCCAGGCCACCAGCTGCTGCTCTCCGCTCTGCCTTCGGAGCTGGGTGGCGATATATGTCCTTGTGGGAGATGGGGATGTAATCAGCTACAGATAAAAAGAAAGGGGGAGAACAATCAAATAAGTTTGAACACCACTGATTTAAATCAAGCACCACCCCATTTATTCCTTTGGAATTTAACGGCAACTATTTACTGTTCAACTGGAACATATGGTTACATTGCTCTGGTCGGTCAAAATCCAGACCTAGTTGACTGTCTACTCTATATCTTACTGATTTAGAAATGTTGATTTATCACTTATGCGAAAGATGAATTCATTTGGTTTCTGTATTGAGCTATAACTGTTGGTTCTTGATCCTCTTATTTCCTTGGATCAATATTTCCCCCCCATTCTCTTCAAAGTTGGCAAGAAAGGAAACCTAAGGTACTTAACTGGCCCCATTACCATGGTTTCTGAGCGCCAAACACCCCTAGGAGTTAGACAAATAGTACTTTCCTCATTTTAAAGATGGGGGAAGTGAGCCACAGAGACCAAACATCTTGGCGATGGTTTCCACAGATGCTTGTGGCAAAGCAGAGAATGGAATGTGGGTCACTGGAATGACAGGCTGACACTCTAACCACTGGACCATTCTTCCTCTTACAGAATTCTATTCTTTATAAGCCTCATGTAGGAAAATGCGGCCTTCTGCATACTTACTTTAGGCTTTCCATAACTTCTACCATCATAATGTAAATTAGCCATTTTTAACCTACTGGAATCACCACACAAGACTCCCTTCTACAGCCCAAACTAGGATGATCCCACCCTAGCCACTGTATCTTCCAAGACCTTGAAGAGCAGCAGTTCTGTCCTCTTACTGTTTCACATGCATGTAGACCCATCTCGGCCAGAGCCGAATGGCCCTGGAAAGGAGGCTTGCTGTAATGACGACAAAAGTCATGTAGACAGATCTCAGGGAAGCAATGTTCCACTGGAACATCGACAACTTGCACCAGCTGAGGATTCTGTGTTTGCTTCTTTGTCTCTCTGCTTAGATGACCAAGATAGGGTGGCGTTATTTGGACCTTCTCCTACCAAGAGCTGGACTGAGAGTTTTAGCGTATCTTCCACAGGCCACCAATCCCTCATGGGATTTGATTGCTATTTCCCAGGGCCTGGTATGAATTGTTAACCTAAGAGTCAAATTCTTTGCATCCTTCACCAATTCCTTTAGTGATCCATCTCCTTTCCCTCTTAATTTGCCGTATATCCCTAGTGTCTATCACAGATACAATGTACACTATACCTTTTTAAATCAACATGAATTGTAAAAAAAAAATTGGTTAGCACCTCAACTGTTTTTCAAAAGTAAAATACCATGATTGGATTTGTACGTGAACAATAGTGCAGAAAATAAACTACTTTAGAGAAGAAGCTACAGAAGCTGTCTGCTTGTTCCACAGGTCCCTGATTAACAGGATAACACAACTTTATTGCTCTTCTGTATCGCTAAGAATTAGAGCAATGCAGTCCCATGACAGTTATGTCCCGGCCATGTCCTGATTGTCTTCATGAGTTCTTATTAGACTCGCAGAGACTTATTATGACTATTGTGCCTAAGAGCTCAACCAAGGACCTGGACTCCCGGGTCCGGTAATAAGTGCTGTACAAACTCAGAACAAACGGACCATCCCTGCCCCAAGGAGTGTACAGTATAATACAAGGCCAATAGATGGCTACAGACAGACATGGGAGTACAAGGAAGCAATGAGACCATATTGGTCTCATTCGGCACACCAGCAATCTAAACCTTGTCAAGTGTGTGTCGTTTTTTGTAAGCATCACAGCAAAGGAAAGTTGTAAGGAGGATAACGAAGTAGCTTGTCAGTTCTTTATGGAAATACAGATTCTTATACCCTTGTACTGAGTCGTTCTTTACTCCTTAAGCAGGCCCTCTCGAAAACTGCCCATTCCCTACCTGTTCCTAGCGCCAAGAGCCAGATTCTGATAATCTCCCTTATAGGGAGTAGTACCTTAGTCCTCAAGGAGTCCCATTGGTTTGATCTTTGGGGAAGGGATTGTCACATGAGAAGTAGCAGCTTTCCTCCTCCGCAGTTGGAATTTATGCCAGTGCTGTTTATACTGGTTACAGGCCACATCCGGCTAATCCCAGTTATAACCAAAACATTACATGGGCAAAGAGTGTTGGAGTACAAACAAGAACAGTGAAGTCGCTGCGTTGCATGGACATTGCCCGAAGCAGCTGTAGGCAAACGGAAGTGGCCACTTGTGAAATGAATGTGTGTATGTTCCCATCCCCAGACTAGAAGAGGAGGATAAAGGAGTAAAAACTAATCTGCTCCTGTCTGTTTCTCTTTCAGGTACCTCCATCATCCTCCCTCCTTGATGTAAAACATAAATTTCACAAAACATGTAAGTACTCTGGACATCCGTCTGGAAGCATGCTGGGGGGACTTAATGCTTGGAAAAGTTTGTCAACTTCACTTTCATGACACTTCACACCAGGGCTTAGATTGGCCTGACAGCTGTTTTGGAGTAACAATGACACAGTGGGAGTGCTGTGGCCTCCCAGACCTGTAGGAGGGTAATATAGAATACATCCGACTCCCTATAAAGGGGGAAGACTTTTCAGGTCTTGATATTACAGTAGCAACTAAAGGCCACCACAGAGCCCTGCAGTACGTTGGGTGCTGTACCACACATAGTGACTGACTGTCTTGCCTATGTAGACTACATTCTTCAAGGCAAAGGAGGTAGAGTTTAGAGTGGGTTGGGAATCTTTTGCTGAAATGTCTCCTCCATCACAATGCCAGCTTGCCAAAATGGAAACGTTTTGCAGACAAATATCGGTTTTGATTAACCCTTTGTCGGGAAGGCTTCAATTCCAAGATGCAATTTCTGGTCAAAGCCAGGGATGGGCAGGGAGCTGCCACTCACCTCCCAAATAGTTGGTGGCCAAGTGGTTGGGGCACTCATCTGGGAGGTAGGAGAGTGGCACCTAAGTCCCTATTCAGAGCAGGGACTTAACCTGCCTCTTCCACATCCTGCATGAGTGCTCAAACTACTGGGGCTATTGGCTATTTGGGGTGGGGCATGTATGTGGGCATTCTCTCTGGTTCGTTCTCTCAGGTCTCGGTTTCATCCTGATGCTCAACAAAACCAAATGTCAAAACCTCAATCTTTCATGAAATGGAATTCTTGCTTTCTGGCCGGGTCTTGTAGTAGTGTCTCCATTTTACAGATGAGGCGAGGCACAGAGGTTATGTGATTTGCTCAGGGTCACACAGTAAATCTGTCACAGTCCAGAATTACACCCTCCCTTTCTAGTTCCTTTAGCATCGGACAATCCTTCCCCTCTTCTAGGATTGTTCTTCTTTTGGTCTTTTTCAGATAGTTGAGTATAAAAAATGGATCTTGTTTATTTGTAGATTATAGAGCTGGTGTAGATGTGGATTCAAGTAAGAGCAAGCTTACTTGAATCTACATTCCCTCCCCCTCCACATGCACCTATAAAAATGAGAGGTGATGAAAACCTGGGAGTAAGAGCTGGGAATGCACCTAGACTCCAAAGCTTTGTCTAAAATGTCTGTGGAGAATCCTGATGGGTGTGAAGGAACTGTGGTTTGCATGGTTCTTACCTCTGTGGTATATGATGCTGTCCCTGGCTCACTTCTGTAGCATGAGCATTAACTATTTCCCAGAAGAAGTTATTTGAGTTTCTGTGTATATGTCTTCCAAAGATGAAATGAAGGAAATATTTGACACCTAGTTATCTTCCTACTGTAATTGCTGACTGTAGAGGCAATGATGCAACATGTCTCCTCTTCCTCTGTTGACCTGATGGGCCAAATTTGGGAGACGGTGCATTTGAAAACAACTGGAAAGAAAACTAGTAAGTGTATTGCTCTGTAGCAGTCCTCTTATTCGCATTTCCTTTGGTTTAGCTAAGGCTTTGGTTTAGCTAAGATCCTCACTCAGATAATATCCTGATGCTTATCACTGTTATGTGTGTGTGTGTATATAAGCACCTTCTACATTGACATGGTCTTTCTGAAGCTGGCTATGCCAGTCTTACTGGACCGTGACCCATCAAATAAATGCCATGTGTGCTTGTGATGCCATTTAATGTATGCTCTTGATGTGAGAAAACAGTGATGTCACTTCAGCAACTTTTACATTGACTGGTACCTTCAGAGCCTGTCCCAAAGCCCACTGAAGTCAATGGGAATCTTTCTACTGAGTTCCATGGACTTTGATTAAAAGATATGACCCATAGGTAGCCCCACTGTTATCATGATGTACAATGGTGATAAAGCAAATATCACTATAGTCTATAGAATATAGCTCAATCCATAGGTGCTTACTGCCATATGTCCTTTTTAAAATAGGGTCGCCACAAGCAAATATACTGCAATGTCTTTTTTAATTCTGAATTGTGTCTTCAGGTAATCACAATATTTAAGTAACTTCTTCATAGGTCCTGATTCTGCCACCCTTATGCTAGTTCCTTCCTCCATCCTGACTCTCTGAGCGTCGTGAGAGTAAGGTACTCCTCAAGATGAACTAATGGAAGCAGAGGTGGTCCCTTAGGATTGCAGTCATGCTTCAGACATCTGTTTGCAATTCCCATTCTTTTGAATAAGAACTCAACATGAGGAGAAGATACCTGGTATTAAAAGGCTCTTGAGTCCAGGGGAGAAAGGCAATGTAAGAACCACTGGCAGGAACTTAAAGCCAGACAAATTCAAACTAGAAATGGGGCATAATTTTTTTCAACAGGGAAGGGGATTAACCATTAGAACAAACTAGCAAGGAAAGGGGCTGATTTTTCCATTGTTTGATCTTTTCCAATGGAGACTGGATTCTGCTCTGGAAGAGATGCTTTTGCCAAACACAAGTTACTGGGCTCAGTACAGGAGTAACTGGGCAGTTACAGGAGTAACAGCAGAAGATCAGACTAGATCTAATAGTCCCTTCTGGGCTTAATCTCTGAATCTCAGGGCTGAATTTGATTGTGAACACTTGCAGTTGATTACTTTAAACTTCCTTTATTGTGACTGCTCTTAAATTACACCTCTACACTGATATAACGCTGTCCTCGGGAGCCAAAATATCTTACCGCATTATAGGTGAAACCGCGTTATATCAAACTTGCTTTGATCTACTGGAATGCGAAGCCCCGCCGGAGCACTGCTTTACTGCGTTATATCCAAATTCGTGTTATATCGGGTCGCATTATATCAGGGTAGAGGTGTATTTCTTTTTTGTCTCTGTAAAGGTTTGAGAAATTCAGAACAGGAATGGCTTGAAAACTGTTCATGTTCTTGTGAAGAATGTTTGGGCAGTTGGGGGTTGTATCCATTCAATTAAAGATGGGATTTCTTTTTAAATAAATTCACTTAAACTGGTGCAAATTCCTGTACAGACTCTTAAATTGACTTAAACTTGGTTTATATTGTTCAGACATTAATGCTAAAAATTCCACACAAGGGTGTACATCAGTTTAACTAAGATCAAGTTGGATTTTTTTTTGTTTGGTTAAACCAGTGCAACCTTGTGTGAAACCAGCCTTGTGACACCATTCGTTACACCTAATAGTACCTTATTCCTCATGTACTCCTAATGACATTGATGGAGCTGTGTATGGAGTAAGTTGCTCTTTAGCATGAGTAAAGGTATGACAATGTAGCTCTATATTGCCCACTGGGCGAGCTTTGTGACACAGCTTTTCCTGTAAGTTTTTGTTACCTGCTACTCTGTTACTTCTGTCTAGTCTCCCTAAAAAGCGGATTGTTCTCTTAGGGCTGGTCTACACTATGGGGGGGGGAATGGGGAGGTGGAAGAGAATCGATCTAAGTTACGCAGCTTCAGCTACATGAATAACGTAGCTGAAATCTACATACTTAGATCTACTTACTGTGGTGTCTTCACTGCAGTGTGTCGATGGGAGACGCTCTCCCGTCGATTCCCTTTGCACTTCTCGTTGAGGTAGAATACCGGAGTCGACGCTAGAGCGATCGGCAGTCGATTTATCACATCTATAATAGACATGATAAATCAAGCCCCTCCTCCCCCACACACACTGGATCGATCGCTGCCCATCGATCCGGCCAGTAGTGTAGACAAGTCCTCAGTCTAGCACGTCTTTCCTACCAGTTCTGATTCACTAATTTTTCCTCAATCCAACTCTATCATTTTTGGTTTAATTTCATCCCTTTTCTCCCACTCTTATAGCTGCTAGCCTTCATGTGTGTGTGCACATGCATGGATGCACAAATGGGGCATGAGGGGAAGGCAATCAGTAAATACAAACCTTTTACGAAGGGGCAGAAAATAGTTGCAGTTGTAGAGGCTACATTTTCAATGCTCAGTCTATGTGAAATTTTATCTTCACCATAGATCACTGATAGTATGAAATATCTCACCCGCTAATTACCCTCATTCTATGGTTCTCAGACTCCGGTATTCTCAACTAAGCATGCATTTGCACCTGCTCCCTCTTCATCCATTTCCCGTTGATCACCCTTGTTAAGTTCTCTCCCTAGCTTGTAGCCTGCCTTGGTGAGCAAGTCATCTCTGTTCAACACCAATCCTTTCCTAGGAGTGATCAGGGTCTGTTTCACTGCCCACCACAATGAAGAAGGGAGTGGCAACTGAATTATAGATTTATTTATTTTAAAGAGCACGATGGATCATGATCACCAGGTTACAACTTGTTACTGGTTTTTTTTTGAGATTCTAATTGCAGTAGATTCTAACTCAGTCTCTTCAAGAGCTCGTAGGAACACATTCTGAAGTCCATTCTCAGTCCTCATTTGGGCAAAACTCCCATTGGCTTGACAGAGTCCCATTGAAGTCACACTCAGCAGTGGGTTATAGTTTGTTACATTGATGTGAATGGAGCAAACCTGGTCTACAGCAGCTGAGGACCAGGCCCTCTAGCATCTATGAATCAGGGAAGAGTAGTTTAGGTTCAGGGTTTGGTCTACCGAATCTGCTGCAAGTTGAACACTTGGGTCTTCAGGTTCTTAACCCTAGATCATGTAGGATATTCTCACATTAATACCTACTGGTTAGAGAGAGCTTTTCAGCTGTAGATCTCAAAGTGCTTAAGAAAGAAGGAAGTATCATATCCCCCTTTTACAGATCTAACTGCTAGCATCTCCTTTGAGTTTAATGATTCTAGCAGGAAGTGTAGCCTAGTGGATAGACCTCTGGAGTTGGACTCAGAATGCCATTCTTCCTGGCTCCTCCACTGGCCCGCTGGGTGAGCTGGAGCAAATCACTTCACTGCCTTGTGCCTCAGTTTACCCATCTGTAAAATGGCCATAATGATACCATTCTCCTTTGGAAAGTGTTTTGAGATAAGAACTGGGTGTTATAATGGGCCCGAACAAAATGATGAGCAGTGG